TTGGGGGGACCAGGAGGGGCTAACTGTCTGTGTATTTAAGATACTCTGCAAGTTAAGTTGTACAATCAAGTTATATATATATATATATATATATATATATATATATATATATATATATATATATATATATATATATATATATATATATATATATATATATATATATATATAACTTGATTGTACAACTTAACTTGCAGAGTATCTTAAATAAACAGACAGTTAGCCAATACTGGTCCCCTAAAGAGGACTTGAAGTGTTGCATTTGAGGGATTAGATTGCATTTCCGTGGGTGGGTGTCCCAGGCTTATTAAGACCGATGGTGCTGCACAACCAGCCAGCAAAGTCCACCTGCTCTGCCTCTGACTGCCTGATAAAATTGTGAACCTGGAAGAACAGACAACAGTAAAGACTTGGCTGAACCAAAAGGATTTTCAGTCACTGTGCTCATGAACTCACCATTAACTGTTTGAGGTCGGCCCTCTCTGCTGGGTTTTTAATCAAACTGAAATTCATGAAAAGTACAGCACGTAAGGGCGTGTAGCGGCTTGCCACCACGAGATGGCACTGTCTCTCATATTTAAGCTTTTGACAGCGTGTTTGCCATGAACATGGTGGTGTACCTACCACTTGTTCACAAAGTCTTGGAACTCGGGGCTAAATATCCCAGGTAGTTTAGGTGGAGGCTGAAAAAAAAAAACGCACAGTTGTCCGAAGTTTATTGACATGGATTTACAGGTGAAAACATCTAACCACGATGCTGCTGTACATGATGAATATTTATGGGCTTCACCCACCTCATTTACAATATAATCAAGCAGTTCAAATATAGCCATTGGTGGTCTGCTGTCTGGGCCGTATGCTGTGACAAAGAAAAACAGTAATTAGTCAATTTTACCAAGTGTTTGAGGGTAATAATCAATAAAACAAATCAGTTTCCATTCATCTACATCCTACTTATTCTCAGCCTAGCTTTTACAAAACAAAATGTCAAGGGCAGGCTGTCAGACTGTGCAAATACAATTGCTGAGAAAAAAACCCAACTGGACCACATACTGGAAATATATCTATGTGATGACAGACTTACTGCTGCTTGGTCGTCCAGGAGGCCTTGGTTTGGGGGAGACATCACTCGAGGCAGCGTCTCCCTCCATTGGACAGCCGAAAATCTTTTCTAGTTCTTTAGCATCAGGTGGTGGAATTGGGAAGCGACCAATGGCCATTTCAACCAGGGACAGGCCCATGCTCCAGATGTCTGACTGAACAGAGTAATGAGTGCCCTGCAAACGCTCAGGCTGTAGGACAAACAGGAAATCACAAACAGGAAGTTCATATTAGTAACTTGCGTGAAGCACAACAAAAAGACTTCATATCTGATGAAGAACGTCCAAGTCTGTTTAAACTCACAGACATGTACGAGCGTGTGCCCACAAAGGAGTTGGCCATGGAGTCGATGAGCTGCCCACTCACTCCAAAGTCACACAGCTTAATCTCACCTCGGGAATTCACGAGGATGTTGGACGGCTTGACGTCTGAAACAGGAAACACAACAGTATTTTTGAGGAGGAAGTGGGTTAGTATGCAGCAGGGAGCAGCATGCGGTCTGATTTACTGATTTAACACCACTAACGTCTAGTCAATGAGTCTGAATGCAGGGGATTGCTATAAGCGATGCTCAAGACTTCGCCTCAACTTATTTAGTACAGCAGTGTTCACAATTATTCTAGCCTGTCCAAACACCCATCGAGGTAAACAGCCCATACTTTTACTGGCCATTAAAATGTCATGCCCTAATGTGCTCCCCATGTAAGTGATGGCAAACAAACTCCACACTTGTGTTCTGTGGAAATATTTATCCCCCGTTAATATGCGGTATCTGCCTTCCTCCAAAGATAAATCAAAAGGATGTCTTTAAAAGTTTACGCCTTTTTAGGAAAAACTTCCCTCGTTTTTCTACGGCATGGATTTTTGTATTTTAAACGAGCACTTACTGTGGAATAAATCCACCGAAATAACTCATCAAAGATCATTTGTTTGACCAATTCTAACCCTTTACTCACCCACTGTAAGAGAAATATGGAGTCGTTTAAAACAGTGGGTCCCAACCTTTGCTGTTCCACGGACCTTTTTTTTAATGCCGTTTGAAGACATGCCGTTTGAAGACATGCCGTTTTCCATCACGCATATGACATAACACAGGAATGTGTATTATTTATGAAATATACAATGTAAACATAATAATTGTTATGCCCTAACATCTTAGGACTCTCGATAATCTTTTTTCTGAGACGAGCACTGAAAGGAGAAGCGTACACAAGGGCTTTTTATTCCCAAAATAAAATATACAGACTAATGAGAATTACAAAATTAAATATCAAAATCATCCATGGCCTGGTACTGGCCCCCCAGTCCAGTGGTTGGGAACCCCTAATTTAAACTATATGAACATATTCTTTTAATACAGTAGCCACTACTTTCTTATTTCATCATAGTTCCTTCAATCTATAGGTTTTGCAGTTCCAGAGGTACTGAAGTATCACTCTGACCCATTGGTGTAACGATAACTGGACATGGTGATAGACAGGCTATTTTATGATGGTATTTAATGAAGTTGTAGGGACCACACAGCAGTTAGCCTGTGGTTGTCTTGGCAACAGTGTCTTGGTGAACTGGTCACTCTGAGTTAACCATAGATATTGATGTGAGTGTCAATGGTTGTCTCTCTCTATACGTGGTCCCCTGATTAGAGTATGAACCCAGGCTGCCTCACCTTTTCCAGAATATAACACCGTCGTCTCCTCCTCTCTCGAAGAGAGAGTGTTTAGTGGTGTGTTAAACAGCGCCCCTCTAAATGTTACATGGTAAATGAGCGTTGAAAACACGGTACTGCACTCTGTGATGGACTGTTGTACTGTTACAGTACGACTGTCTACACCCACCACTGACCCACCTCTGTGCATGATCTTGTGTTTCTCCCTCAGGTAGGAAAGTCCTTTAATGACCTAAAAAGACAAATATTTTAGATTGATTTTTTTTTTTAAATACCATGCATCAATCTAGTCATAGAGATACAGTAGTCAAGCAGCATAACTGTTACCACACCATGACAGTAGTAGAATTAATGCTACATACAGCAATGCTGACTTTGCCAAGGATCTGCTCTGGGATCTTGCCTGCTTTCTTCAGCGACTGATCCAGGGAGCCACCATCCTGTGGACAGAAATTAGGATGAGAATCCACGGAAACAACACCTGCAAAAAAAGGGGGGACGGGAAGCTGTACCATGTGCTCCATGCAGATGCTGATTTCTCCATCACTGTAGAAAGCTCCGTAAAAACCCACAATGTAGGGGGAGTTACACTCGTGAAGCACCTGCAGCTCTCTGATGATCTGGTTCCTGATGGCAGGCTTGATCTCCAGGTGAATCAGCTGTAACACAGCACATACCAGCATGTATTTTTAGGCTCCACTTACCCTCAGAGCCAACACACTCATATACACTACAAGAAAAAATACAATTTGAAAATGTGCAGCTCACCTTCCTCGCCATAATCAGACCCGAGGGCCTATGGGAGACCTTGAAGACCACCCCTCCGTTGCCTGCGCCCAGCTCACAGATCTTCTCAAAGTCATCGTCCTTCAGCTCTCCCACCTTCTGCTTCTGGGTCAAAAAGGCTTCCAGGCGGATTCGCTGCTGCTCATCTAATTCCAGCTCCTCCAGCTTTTTCTGCAGCGCCTCCAAGTTTGTTCTTCCGATAACGACAGGACAAAAACGTGTGACTATCGGTGCGTCAGCATTGTTGAAGGTTAGTTTACACAGATGTGTGTGTGTTACTAAAGTATTGGTGTTCTTCCTGTAAAACATGAGGTCATCCATGGTGTCAGACATCAGCCTGTTCATGTCTTGAGTCATGGTCGGTTTAAACCAATTGTAGATGATTGAGAGAGAGATGGGTGTTCTTATTGGTTGTTTGTTTCTATCCAACATCATGCTGAAAAAACTTTTTAAAAAAAGTATGACCAAATGTGTTGTGCAACAACAACATTGTTTTCATCTGATAAGAAAGATAAGAAAGGAAGTCGTTTCCAGGAATCAGTATTTCGGAGTACTTGCTTTTTGAATGACTTAATCTACTTTTTTTTTTTTTTAAAAAAAAGACATTTTTCAACATGCATATTTTTTTTCCGTTGGGATTTTAAATCATACCGCAGTAGCAGGGTCATGTGCTCTGCTGCTTCAACAATCAGAAAAGAGAGTGTTAGGTGTTTTTATTTTTGACAACAGGCCTGCATATCCATGGAGACAAGGTTCTGAGTTAGAGCAGGCCGTGGGCGGCGTGGGCGTTTTGACGACAAGAGCTGGAGGTGGAGGAGGACGGAGATATTGAGTGGAGAAGCTGCCTGAAACACACTCCACACAGAACGGAGGAGGGACTACAGCTACTGCACACACTGCTGCCTTTCTCTTCACTGTGGGTTAAAGAAAATATGATTATGACACTCTTTTATTTCAAAATGTCCAAGGACAGCAGAGGAAGAAAAGAAAATCTATCTACAGTGTCGTGGAGCACAAAAAAGAACAAGGTTAGCTTAAGGTATAAATGAGGATGACTGTGACCTGAGCAAGCTGATGATGATGTTTGACACGTCCCTGTTGTTGGAGGTGTACAGCTCAACACAACAATAGAGCTTTACGCTATATATTTAGTGGAACCACACCTTTACTATGTCTGGACGTCAAGCATGTCGTGGTGTTGAGGAAATCCAGAGGAAAAACCCAAAAAGATCTACGATAATGTCTTCCTTGTTGCTATGGAAATGCTTTAGCCTAGCTCATGGATTACAAGTATGTAAACAATACAATGATGATGTGTTGACGTAGCATCACCCGTTTGCAGCAAGAACCAAATGCAATAGATTGTGGTTGTGCCACTTCTATATCGTCACTCTCTTTTGTTTAACGTGTACCCATTTAAATCATTTGATATAATTTAATTTGACTCATGTTGTGTTTGATTATGGATGTTTCTATTTGGCGAAGTTCAAGATTTTCAGTCTCTATGACCACCACCCAAATCACTGCACCATACCAACCCCCCTGAACCTTCCTGTGGGTGGTGAGTCCACTGGAAGGTACCAACCGCCCTAACTGGGATTCGATCTTGTCCAGGAGGTGAACCCTGGGGTTCTACACCAATGACAGAGCTATTGCCTCTGGACTAAAGCTCCACAATGTTCAAGATATGTTTGCTAATTTTGTACCAATTTCCAGTTGCAAAATGCTTCTTAAAACCAAGTTGAATGAACAAGGATTACTCCGGATAAAACACGACTACATAATGAAGCCAGCGTTCGCATTTTGAAGACTGTTTCCGATTGGATTGTGCTTAAGCCCAGTTGATCTGGTTCATTTGTTATCCTGATGGACACCACGATGACCTCATGTCTCAGGGGGGAAAGTGATGAGTCAGTCTCCAACATCTGCAAACGTCCTGTACAGAGGAGCCTCTCTGTTCCTGTCTGTATGGAATCAGTCTGAAATGACTCTAACGCTTCCTCCTTCGTTCTGCTCTTTGTAGGTAGAAACCTGGAAACAATGTGAAATCTTTGTTTGTCACCTTCCTAAGCTACGCCATAGCAATATAGCGATGCCCTAATGTGTAGCATTATAGTGCTGCACCTGTACTTAGCATGTTAATGTTGTGTTAGCACAGGGATAGTACGTAGCATTTTACTTTGAGAGTTTTATTTTCAGCGCAAATCTGAATTTTAGTTAGTTTAGTAGTAGTAGTTAGCATTACTGCCACCTACTGGGTCTATGTCACTCTGGTAAATATTTCATGTAGATGATATACTGAACCCAGAAAAAACATAAAAAAAAAACGGTAGGGACATTGATAAAACACAGCAGACTTCCTTTGACCTCGACTACTTGAGTTTTTTATATGTGCGCTACAGCTTTAAATAATTTTACATATGGGAATGTCATGATGTTCACTTAGTATAATGGACCTGCAGACGTTCCACAATACAGGAGCTATTTGTTGGCAGGGTGTGTGAAGGAGGAGTCGTGTTGTCTGTGTATGGAATGGTATGCATGAAAGTCTTGAAAACTAATCTATTGAACGAAACCAAATCAATCTCATGCATCAACCGTCTGCTTTTCCTGCTTTCACTTCTCGTAATCATCAAGATGATTCCGGAGGAAATTCTTTACCAGAGGAAAACAGATCCAACATGGTGGAATAATAGAATTCAAAGAATGCAAAGCTGAAAATGAAGAGATTATCAGCTGGTAAAAGTGTAAATGTGAAGTTACTTATTTGTACCATATAACAACACCTGATCCCAATGACAGTATTTGCTCTGTTTACAACGTTAACAGGTTCTTTTGTTTTTTTTTTTTGTGATTACAAAATGAAAATCGAGCCTCATCCCTGCTCCTGTGATACTGTGTACGTGTGAAAACACCAGTTCATGCCTCAGCTTGTCATAACTGTGCTCCTCTCTGCAACACTTGCTACAGTGAAGCCCACACTCCATATTTGGATGGATACATAAATACATTGTTCCACGTTAGATCATCTTAGCTTCTCTGAATTTAAATCTGACAAAACATCGATGCATGTCATTCATTTTAAATGCTGGCCTGACAATAGAGAAATATCGTTCGTATTTACGGGACGTGGGCCACAGTTAGGCCTAAAACAAGTTTGTGGTCCGATCAATATATTTGCCGTAACTGTTGGCGTGACGAGAAGTTTACATTACATTGTGTTAAGGAAATATCTGCGCAACCATTATGTGTGGATGACCGTGTGCGTGTGCTTCCCTAAAGTGGACTTATCAGGATTTACAGCTGCCAGAGTGGAGCCACACAAACTGTCTTCTTTTGGGAAAGAGGATTGTCTGCATGGTCTTTTGTCAGCAGAATGTCAGTCTGAATACCACAGCACACAACACAGCAGTATTACTGAGAGCACACACACACACACACACACACACACACACACACACAGACAGTGTGTTGGGATTGCTCCACAGCAAAGACTGCTGAATCCCTGACATGCTGCTACTTTTCCAGTTACAGCCGCAGCAGCAGGCGGAGGAATGTTCACTGTGTTTGCCAAACATTATGTCACTATTAACAACTACTAGATAAAGACAACGCACGACAGCGCTGTACTGTATAACGTATGGACGACAGTTGGTTTATTCTGTCACATCAGAGCATGAAGAAACCTCCACCTGAGTTTACATTTTCACAATCATCATTATCTGTGTAGCAAATACATATCTGGTTAGTCGTACTAGCCACACTATTGTTGAAATGTTCTATAAGCAGTGTCAGTGTCAGCAGGGCCTGTCTGGATACGGGGCAATAAATGATAGTTTATTTATTTTGACCAACCTGCCCAGAAATATGTTACCTCATTTACTCCTCAACGGTGATTTTTACTAGTAGTTTTTTTTTACTGCAGTTTTCATCATAACAATTAAAATATATAAAAATCAGATGAAGCTAATAAGCTACAAGCTAATCAAACTGGATATTTCCAGTTTTGGAGAGATAGGAGCACGGATGAGGACAGGAATTAGACTCAGGAATAAGAGTATTCTCTTCTTTCTAGGACTGCTGTGTATTTGGGCTGTACTGCTGGTCCACTTTTAGGTTCCATATCCTAATTACAGATGTGTATCGGTACCAGCAGCCATAATATCTGTACAATAACTGGATACTCTGTAACCACCATCACCAGATGTTCATATGTCTCCCAGTGTTATGGATTTTCTTCTTGTGTATTTCAGTGTCTGGTTTCCCTTCATGGGTAGTTTATTGAAGCACATCAACAATGTCAGCAGTTTTGAGGTATTTCAACACCAGGGACAAAGACATACTGTAAGAGATTTGTTGTGTTTGAATATTTCTGCACTGACTACTGAACCTCCTCTGTGACCTAACAACTAGATCATCACCATGTCACAACCGTTTAGCGTCTCTATTGGACTGTGGCAGTGTTCAGTCAAGGCCTACGATGAAGGTCTGAACTGCACTCACGAACGGCCCTCATCACGCTGCTGCTCTCCAAAGGACTGTCTATGACTAATCACTGTCCACACGCTGCGTGCCGTTACAGGAGTGATGTGTGAAATATGTGCGGTCCAGTTACTACTGATGGTTTAAACAAACATGATACAAAATATGTGATTGTTGTTTAGGACGGGGTTTGTGTTGCATTGCACTTGCAGTGATAATTTGGGCAAGATTAATGGGGATACAGCAAGTTTAAATAGTGGATCTTATTTACGATTAATGGGGATACAGCAAGTTTAAATGTGGATCTTATTTACTATATATATGTAAATATATATACTGTATATATATACATATATATATATATATATACTTTGTATATATATAACCACTACAGCCATGTCTTAGTGTACAAACAGTATTTCAAATATTAGAGACACTACAACGTAGTTTAGCTCTAAGTAAAATCATTTATTGTTAAACCAAAATAATGAATGTATCTCAACTATGTGCTGTATTTTATCACTGGTTTGGAGAGACTCAGTAACCATATCCAATGTCCAAATATTGACCTATAGTCATAATGGGTTTGCAGAAATAACCCGAGGAAGATCACATCCATCCTCTAGACCAGAGCAGAAAAGAAAAGAAAAAATCAGAAGTTCTAACACTGTAAAAAAAAAAAAAATCAGAAGTTCTAACACTGGCCCCACTCCTCAGCTGCTACAGGCTGCTGTTTTCGGCTGATGCAGCATCAACATGTTTGGTTGTTTCAACATAGTCTTAATATGAGGTGGAAGAATATCGACGTAACTCACTCTGTGGCTCCGGTACCGTTGATGGCGTTTCCGTCCGGTATCGGGTTGAGTTGGATGGGCTCTGGCTTCCTTCTTTTCTGCATGTTTCTGCGCTAAAACCACACAAACTACAGCAGTGAGGATGAAGATCCGTGGACACAGCACAGCTGGGTCATCAAACACCGACACTCTGAGGCCAGAGCCGACTGTGTTAAACACTGAGCCCCGCTGTCATGAGCCGCAAAGACAGGAGGAGTTCGATTATTTTTCTTCCTATTGATGGGTGGATGTGAATGAGCTGTGAGATGAAACGTCACGAATTCATTGCTCTCTCTGTCGGTCACATGCGGTACTACATCACAAATCAAAACAAAACAACTGCTCAGTTTAAAGGCACAGTGTAGGATATACAGTAGCAACATCTATGGGCGAAGCTGTGTTGGGGTTGAATAAATCACTGAATAAAGCACGGAGAAGTGACCTCCAGTTATGACAGTAGAATGTTTTTTTTAATGTGTTCTGATCCAACATGATGTCATTTTTGCGCAATGAAGTCAAGATTACAGTTCATCCTTTTAAACCAGATGAATACAAATAAGTATATTAATGGTTTATAAATGTAAGTCAAATATTTATATATTTTAAGTTCTGCTGGGGAACATTATATTAAAAAAATCAAAACAGTGCATGTTAGTACAAAACTTTAAAAACCGGTAGTGGGGCAGATGTTTAAAAGAATAGCCTCTAGAGTGTGCTATTTAGTTAGAAATAAGTGCATGGACATTTCGATTTCGATTTATGAAAATTACTGCACTTCGTTTATAAACTAGGACAGCGCCCACATTTTCACAAGATTTTATGGTTCGTGGTGGTTTCATGTTAGTCATGGTGGATACAGACGGTCTAAAATTTTAAATTAACTTAATTATTCGGGATTTTATTTGGGGACGTTTTAATATCTAAATTGTTTGTTTGTTGAAACAGCTTTGAGTTAGGATTCATCCACGTGTGAAAATGTAAATGTAAAATAGTAATAGAGATGACATTTTATTGCGGAGTGATGCTATTTACATAACATGGACAGTCTCCATAGATTGTTTTTTATAGAATAAAATAAAAACCAGTCAATGTACATGGTTGTCATGCAAGTAGTGCTATTTCTGGTCACATTTATTCCTATAAAAAGCACTAAACTAAGCTATAGTACAATTGTACAATTGTGACTTGGATCAAAGTTGAAGAGAAACAAAGGGCTTTTGAAGGGTTTCAGCTAAAATACAGGTATGTGTGTGAATCACCGGTCGGCCTTTCATATGTCAGTGTAACTGCAGCATAATGTTGATCATTAACATATGACAGTCACACAGCGGAGGTGGTTCTGTATTCACTCACTCCTCTTTTATTTTTTTAATATAAAAAGTGCACTTTTGCAATTCTTTGACTGATTTCTCCAACCTGTAATTAGTAATAAATGGCTTCGCTGGTGGACTCAAACCTGAGACCCCCTGCACCCACGTCTGCTTTCTTAACCACCAAGCCACTACTCTCACCAGGATGTGGAGCCAACACCCTGGACACATATAGAACAGGCAACCACGATCAATGCTTGCTCTTGTAAGCTGAGTGTTATAAGAGATAACAGTTAGTAAAAGTTTCGTTTGTTTGTTTTTTACTTATTTAGATTCAATATTTTTATGGTGTTCTAACCCATGCTTTAACCATAAGTTAAATCATTTCTCATTTTTAAATCTTTGTACATACTGTTAGGGCCCTGGAGTGACCGACCTTTGAACCCATGAAACCTATAAAAACAAAAAAATGTGAAGCTAACACACTTTATGTTGGCGAAGTCTTTGTGTTTCTTTGCTCAATGACCCACTTGGCCAGATTAGAGTCATCAGTAGCGCTGAGGAAACAGGTGAGAGGCTGACTCAGCTCCATTGAGATTTCAAGCCTGGAATGATCAATAATGATATCCCTTCCAACTTCAGTCGATTCCAGTGCAGAGCACAATTTCCAAACTTGTCCTTTAAATCAGACCCAGACCTGTAAGCATTACAAAAGCGATGGAGTGCTAATACTGTGAATGAATGTCACTTACTCCACTTTAAACTTTGGTGATCTGAGGCAGCAACAGGGAAACCAATCAGAGCTCCTTCCTCATCTCAAATGATTGTTAATCATCCCTGGTTTAAGCTCCATAATCCACCTATTGACAGTGGGGAGGTTCAATCAACCAAGAGTTAGGTCACATCCATATGACGGTGTTCTCATTTGAAAAGGGCTCTACAGATAAAAAGCAACCGCAGCCATCCAAACATTACAGCTCTGCATCATAAGTGAGTCACGTCCATATAAACAAACCTGAGAAACATATATATGACTTGACCATTTCAAAAACACACACAGGGAATTTGTGAATTTGTATTACAATTCAACAATGAGAGTGATTCTAATGCAGTGGCTACAAACACCCGGCCCGGGGGCCAACATCTATCCCGTGACTTTTCAACATTAAATGATAGACAATATTTTTTACCAGCTGTTTACATTGAATGTTAAAGAGTATTTTTGTTGAACAAAAACTGCTTTTTCCAGACTGCGATGTGACTGATGTGGCCGTCCAATGAAATGACAGTGACAGCAGTTGCCCTCAGCTCGTTTCAGTTTGAGAGTCATGTTGAGAGTCGTGTGTAGCCTGCACGTCAGCCAAACACACAACTACTCTCAACTAAAGGTTAGCCAGAAGATTCTGAGACTACTTTTAATCTTTATTTATAAAAACACACAGTAGGGTAACCCTCCAGCCTGCTGGGTTTCCATTGTGGAAAATGTTCCTTCAGCAGTAAAAAAAATAAAAGAAATAAATCTGATGGCACTTGATTGGATGTTTTTATTTTGGTTTTAGGTTAACCGGGCCTGAGACTGAATCTAAACCTCTGAGAACCTTTTATGTAAGTCTGTCCAACCCACATAACTACTACACCTGCTGTGTCTCTGATGTGACCCGCCCCATATCTTGGTCTTCCAGGTCACACCCAGCTACTTCCTGACTACCTTTGCCACCACAGCCTAATGATTGAGGTTTTTCTTGCTGGCAGCTGGATGTTGAAGACAGCACAGACATCAGCTTTGTTTACTCTGCATTTATTTGTTTAGCTACATAAAACGCCACTAATGAGAATCAAATGAAGAAGTTGTGGAATGTTTGGCCAGCGGCTAATGGGTATCATCCTCACAGAGCATAGGTGAGTGACTCAACAATTTTTTTTTTTTCAAAACAAAAATGTAATTTAAGCTCTGTGCTCTGTTGCTGCAGTTTACATGACAATATAAACTCTACTGCGCACTAAGTAAGCCCACAAAGACCACTGGAAACAGTGGGACTAGTTTAATGTCTTAACAAATTCTGTGGTTTTTCCAATGAAAATATGTTTCCATACGTGAGACTGAAACCTTAATTTTCTTACTGCAGAGATCAGTTGGCTGTTACAAATCAAATGAGCACAGGGCCTTTGTGGATCAATGAAAAGGTTGGGGTGCATTTAACCCAGCAGACAGTTCGACCATTGGTGGTATTAATTGGTGTCATGAATTCTTTTCCAGACGTAAACCAATTAAGTACACAGTTTATACGGATATGCTATATATATATATATATATATATATATATATATTTATATATAT